CTCTATCCATGACAATTAAAACTAAATGCAATTGTTTTATAGTAGATATACATTAAGTCATCCACACTCTTTCTAATAACACTAATTTCGTTAAAATCGGTTGATCCAAACCAAAGTTATAGGTATTTATCCACAAATACTTTGCCACTCTCCCCCACCCTTAATTTGAAAAAAATATAAAAAAGTACTTTAACAACTTTTCCAGCGATTTCTCTTGGCCACTTTTACTAAAGAATTTTTTCTCCTAAAGTTATAACATGAATAGTTTCTGATATATAGCCGAGAGATCGGCTTATTGGACCACCCGGTATATATACGGCAGAACAAAATATAGAAAAATGCCATCAAAACTTAGAGGTAGCTTCAGATTCATTAGAAAAGTGGATAAAGAATAGCGGATTTTCCATTTCAGAAAATAAGTCAGCAGCTGTTACATTCACTAGGAAGAGGTTTCATCATCCGTCTTCCATAACACTAAAAAATTACACAGTCCCGTACTTATCTGTAATTAAGTATCTAGGTATTACTCCAGATACGAAACTTAACTGGAAATCTCATACTCATTATATAACATCTAAAATTGAAACATCATCATCACTATAAACATCATAAAAGTTTTCAGCCATAGTAAGTGGGGGGCAGATCCTAACATTTGTCTTCTATTTTATAAATCTTTTGTCCAGTCAATAATCGATTATGGGTGCGTATTATATGGATCGGCCTCTGAATGTCATCTTAAAAAGATTAATCAAATCCAAAATAAATGTCTACGAATCTGTAATGGGTATCTGAAATCTACACCCATAGTTGTTATGGAGGCGGAAAGTTGCATACCTCCACTTCTGTTAAGGAGACAATTCTTAAGTAATAAAAACTTATTTAAGATATACGCAAAAAATGACAATCTTACACACAAAATTCATCAGTTAACTATCGAGGTTTTAACAAATCGATATTGGAAATATAAAAAAACTCCTCTACTGATCGAAAGTTATTATAACTACCCAGAAATTAAGGACAATATATTGAATATTAACAACTTCACGTCTTTTAAACACTACGATTTTCGCCCTGTATTCAATGTAATCGATGACTACCGTAGTCTCCCGGAAAAATTACTAAATAAATATTTTCTTAATAAAATTCATCATAAATGGAAAAATCATGATTACATCTTTACTGACGGTTCTGTAATTAATGGAAATACCGGTCTGCCTAAGGGATCGTCAATATTCACTGCAGAGATAGTCGGAATTAAAAAACACTAATCTATGCTCAATCCCTATCCGGCATTAATATAGTAATATTCTCTGACTGCAGAAGTGCATTAGAAAAGATAAAAAATATTAACATAAACGACCAGTATGACGGGTTAATTAAAGATGTATATGAAGTACTTACAAAATTAAATAAAAATGGAAAGATAATTACATTATCCTGGGTGAAAAGTTATTGTGGGATAGAATATAATGAGATAGCAGATAGATTAGCAAAAAGAACTACTACAGAATGGGAGATGATTAACATGAAGCTATCTTTGAACGATCACGTAAGCCAAATAAAAATAACCATGAAAACTAAATGTCAAGAAAAATACGAAAAAGCCAACTCTGGGAAAAAGTTTAAAATGTTGCTTACAAAACTAAACACAAAACCTTGGTTTTTTAATGTACAGAATAGAAATTTTATAAAACAATTTCACGAATCAGAAGTAACCGTGCAATGTATCCGGAATATAAACACCGTTTAGGTATCCATAACGAAGATTATTGCGAATGCGGAAAACATGGTAGATTAGAACATATTATATTAGAATGCCCATCTATTCAACAAGAGATCTCTACACTACTTAATAATCTATATAAATTAAAAATAGTCATACCCTTTAACTTGTCGAGCTTACTTGCAACTGAAGATATACGAGTATATGAGGTTATTTATGAACACACGGTTAAATGTAAATTTAAATTATAAGCACACTAACATAAATCCTACTCTTTTGTATCCATTCCAGAGGTCCTCTCCCCCGTGTTACAAAACCCCGCCGAGACGACCCTTAGGCAAATTAGCACTCCTTCTAAACCTCCTTTGTGATAACAAGATTATATGATAGGAAAAAAAGCAAAAAAAAAAAACAAAAAAAAACCAAAAAATACAAAAAAACACAAAAGTTTAATCAAAAAGCAAACAACATAATTAAAAAAAATACAGTTATATTATAAGGATAATCATTAAATACTTACCTGAAGAATTTTCCTTATAACTTTCACACATTTGTTCTGGCTAATTGGCTTAGTTCCAGTGCCATAAAACAAAACACATACACATATCATATAATTGACTTGCTACAAACAAATGTAAAATTTTGTAAACGTAGTTAAATAAATCTTGAATCTTGATTTAAAAATTTATGATAATCAATTTCACCCTTTTGGCTGATTTGATATTAAAAACCACTAAAGTAAGATGAAACTGTCAATAAAATTACCAAGGGTAGAAAGAAACATATTTTCTAAATTAAAATTAATAAAGTATAATTGAATTATAACTACGTACAAATAATAGATATCTATGCGACAAAATGCAAGATAGGAAAAAAAAGAAATAGTTCTGACTAGTTGACATAACAGAAAAACTGTACAAATATATTTATTAGACTAATTTTTTAATACTCCTAAACTACTAAAAACTTTGTAAGTGGGTATATTTAAAGCCCTTGCTTTAAATATACTTTAAATATACCCACTTACAAAGATTTAACCTCTTTTTTTGTGATACGTGGTATACAGTCAGCTGCAGGAATTATTTTCCTTGTGGATTTTACTAAAAACTATTTGTCCTTATTTATAGTCCCCTCATTCTTCGGGATATTTCTAGAATTCCGTGGAACTCTAGTAAGACATGTCGAGGAGACATGGTAAGTTCAATTCTGGGGCGTAGCAAGGCCTGGTGTAACATTGCCCCCTATTTAAGAGATTATTTCTCCTGGAACCCTATCGAGACTGGAACTGGCTATTGATATCGGCAACTAGACCCTCTTTACAACTTCCAGTTGCATAAAAGTGACAAGGGACGGTTTTCGCTCTGGACCGGTATCCACGCGGATTGCAACAGACTAGTACTTGGACTACGGTATTTTTAACGATTTGGCATGGCTAATTTTTTCACGTTGAACTCCAACACGTGCTCCCTCAGTTGAAGTAATGTTTCCCATACATCTTGGTAGGTGAGTTTTGCATGGGCCAAAAGGTAGCGTAATGCATCTTGGAGCGTCAAAGCTTTTCCGGGAGCTGGTAGTTGTTATTGAAGTTTTGCAACTCAACCAAACTTCCTTTGAAAAATTGATGCCAATTCTTGTACGTCTTTACTACTGTCCAGAATCGTATAGAAGTCATCTAAAAGTGCGAGTAGGTCTTACTTTTTTTCAGTGATAACACCATATCTTGCTTTACTGGTATTACCATGTGCCCCGATGAATTCGTCGAACGTGAGGTCAGGTGCTTCTTAAACTTGGTTTACTTCGACTTTTTCACCTACGTCGTGGTCTCCTTCGAATGGAGCCAGCCACTTATAGTATACTATCATTGATTTTCCTCTCGGAATCTTGCTTATTCGGTATATAACATCGTTACTCTTTTCCCTAAAATAAGTTACGGACCTTCCCAGAACTGCTGAAAGTTGGCAGAACAATCCTTTCGCTCCTTTGGATTATAGAGCCAGACGTTGTCATTTTTCTTGAAATATCCCTTTTCAGCTTCTTAAAATAGCTCTACTGTTTTCTCATTCTATCGCTAGCGAGCTGAAGATCGGAACGGACCAACTTGTTTATATCGTCTATTCTTTTTCGTACTTTGTTCACATAATCTTCACCAGCTACATCTTCCCCAGGCCGACATCCAAACAGATCACAAGGTAGTCGCATGTCGCGTCAAAATAGGACTTTTTCAGGTGTTTGGTCCGTTGATTCATTAACAGTGGATCTGTAGGCCATTGCGAAGAACGGAAGGTACTGGTCTAAGTATCGCTGATTGGACACAATTTTTGCCAAAGACTTTCCAACTGTCTTATTCATTCGCTCTATCATTCCAACCGATTGCGGGTAATGGGCTGTACTTCTTGTTTTCTTTGTATATCGTAGATTCCCTGGAATAGATGGCTCTCGAAGTTCATTTCTCGATCACTATGGATCTCCAAAGGCACCTCAAATCGACTGATGCGCTCTTTGATCAACACGTCTGCAATAGTGGCGGTCTTCTGATATGGAATTACGTAGATCTCGACCTACTTTGTGAAATCCATCACTACCAGAGGTGCTCGTTTTCTTTACACGGAAATGCCCCCTTGATGGACTGTCATGTAACTGAGGAAGTACTTCGGCTATTCTGCTCTTTGGAACCACTAACTGTGGTCTCTTCTCAGAACCATCATCATTTTCCAGTACTAGTTTTATCGAGCTGTCTTTCCTGATAAAGGTGTCTCACTGGGCGTAATGTGATTTAACTACCGAGCATATGTTTGATATTTCTTGCCAAGACGGTCGACGGTTTTCTTCCTTCCATTTTCGAATTTTGTGTAAGACTGGATTTTTCTCTTGTTCTTCTCTGATCTTAGTAGGCGTCCACTTGTGTTAACCATTGTGATTCTTAGCACTACTGCTTTCTTGGATTCTGTTTTGTTGCAATGGGGATACTCTGCTGGGCACGGCCTTCTATAGAGAGTGAATCAGCGTTCCTGTGGCAACTCCGGCCCGACGCTCAATTTTAAAATCGCATTTTTGGAGACGTTCAATCCATCTGACTGTGTAACCATCTATATTCTTAAACTACTAGATTGCTTACATGAACTTTATATCGGTACTTTCTTGTCTCATTTGCTACATCGATATTAAAATAAATTGTTGTTCAAATAGCGCCGTAGAAAAGTGACCTGGTTGTGCCTGTTGTAATATTAACGAAAAAATATATTTTTAATTTTTGTTAACGTCGTAACTCTTGTTCTAGATGTAAAATGCGAATTTTTCAATCCAGGAGGCTCGGTTAAAGACCGAATTGGCAAAAGACTTATCGAAGATGCCGAACGGCAGGGTCTGCTCAAACCAGGCTACACTATCATCGAACCATCTTCTGGAAATACTGGAATAGGTCTAGCTTTAGCGGCAGCTATCAAAGGTAATGTAGTGCAATAATCCATTCTAATTCTCGTATATTTTAATGAATGTGTTTTAGGTTATAGATGTATAATTGTGATGTCTGAAAAAATGTCAAATGAGAAAGTGTCTGTTTTGTCTGCACTTGGCGCGGAGATCGTTCGTACACCAGTAAATGCTGATTCAAATTCTGCTGAAGGGATGTTTGGGGTTACTCACAGACTTAGGAAAGAAATACCCAATTCTATAATTTTGGATCAGGTAAGATTTTCTTTAGCTTCTGTTGTATATTGTTATTTTGTTGTATATTTTGTTGTATATTACAAAAAAACAACAAAAAATAATAAAAACTCACCTATAAAAGATAAAAAAATTAAGCGAGTTTTTTATTGTAATTGAAATTAATTTTAACAATGAATTTTAACGATACAGTACATCGAATTTACACGTAATCTTTACGATGACGGGAAATTTTTTTAGTTATAAGATCAGCTGAGTATCTTTAAACGCGTAAACACAAGTTTGAAAGGTTTGGTGCGTTTTAGCTTGAGAACTAGGTCTTGATTATCTAGCTGATCTATGGATTAGGGAGTTGGTTTTCGTGACCCTTGGCAATCTTATTTACTTCTTATTTAACTGTTAATATTCGAAGTTGTAGGTAGTGTTGCCCAAAATCCGTCTTGGTCTTGCAGTCTTGGTCTTGTTCTTGCGTTTTCGCAAGACCAAGACCAAGACCGCCTAATTTTAGCAAGACCCCCAGACCAAGATTGACCATGCAAAATTTAAGCAAGAACAAGAGTAAGCCTGCGAGACTCTTGCGTTATGCAGTTAGGACTGAGTGTCGTTTTAGCGAGTATAGCAGTTTGGGTATATGCTTAAAGACTCTATGAGACGCAAAAAAATATGTAATATAAATTTAAAAAACTGGACTTATGCGCATTACGAACAATACCGTAAACACATATTCTTCTTCTTCAGATGCAAATCCACTAATGGATGTTAGCGATCACATTTTCCATTAACTCTCTATTTCTTGCAATATGTATCAGAGATTGTATTCTGTAACTGGTATTTTTCATTTCGCATGATGCGACCTAGATACGCCGTTTTCCTTTTCTTGATGGTTTCGAAAAGGTGGCGTTCTTGGTTTATTCTTTTAAGGACATCTATATTTGTGATTTTCGCTGTCCATGGTATTTTTAGGATACGGCGATAAAGCCACATTTCGAAAGCTTCCAATCTGTTTATATCTCTCGTTTTGAGTGTCCAGCCCTCTACGCCATATAGCAGCACTGACCATACGTAGCACTTAGTAAACCTTAGTCTCAGTTGAAGATCGAACTCAGAACAAGTCAGTACCTTCTTGAATTTTACGAAAGCTTGTCGAGCTTGCTCAATGCGACATTTTACTTCCCTGTCCGATGCCCAGTCTTCAAAAAGCCACGATCCCAGGTATTTAAATTTACTCACTCTTTCTATGGATTTACTATTCAGTGTTATGGTGGAGTTTTCAAATGCATCCAAGTTTCTGGAGATGATCATGAATTTGGTCTTTTTGGTATTAATCTCAAGTCCCATTCGCTCACTGTATTCTCCGATTATAGTGACAAGTTGTTGAAGATCGACTATGTTGTCACAAATTAAGACACCATCATCAGCATATCGTATGTTGTTGATCAATACTCCATTCACCTTGATTCCCATCTCTGCATCCTCCAAAGACTCTTGAAATATGGCTTCTGAATAAATGTTAAATAAAAGAGGGGAAAGCACACATCCCTGTCGAACGCCTCTTCTTATATGTATGGGCTTAGATATAGAATTGTCTATTTTTAGCTGTGCCGTTTGATGCCAGTACAAGTTTTCAATGCATCTTATGTCTTTTTGGTCTATATCAACTTTCTTGAGAATCTGCATTAACTTGTGGTGTTGGACACAATCAAACACATATACCGAATCAAAATATTCATTAAAAGAACGCTTGACACATTTGACAAGTGCTTAGAGGTCATAATTACAATGTAAAAAATCAAATATTTTTTACATTCTTACATTCTTTCCCAGCAGACGACTTCTTCGCTAATCATCAAATAATCTTCTTGCATTGCGACGCCGACAGTAATATCGTATCGAAACTTTTTAAAAATATGTAACCTTAGCTAATAAAAAACATAATACTTACTGTTAAGAACACCCAATCATTCAATTTTTTTCCCATTATAATTGAGATAGGAGGAATGTAAATTAATAACAGATAATGTCGGCTACCGTGTAAACAAAATACCGAAATATTTAGAATAACGATGTAACAATATATAATTCTTAGGGTATTAGATAGTAACGAACATATTATAGTAACTAGTAGTAGTTAGTTTTTCGACATCACTAAACTTCATTATTGAGCTTTCCTTCGAGGCTAATGTAATAATTGTTTTTCATCTAATTCTTGTTGTTTTTGGAGTATGCGGGTATGAAGATTTAAATAGTTCTAGTTGGAGTAGTAAGAGTTGGAGTTCTAGATCTAAAAGAGCTAACAGCAAATTTGATGAGTTTTTCGAAATAATTCATGCATCCCAAATGGCTTTGTGTAAATTGTGCCTACTTAGAAAGGTTGAAATAAAAATGAAAAACAGAAACACGTCAGATTTAAGGAAGCATCTAATATCTTTTCACAAAAAAAATTACAAATATTTCTTCCTGAAAAACCAAAATTCAGTGGAGATGTAGAAATGTAAAAAAATATATTTATTACCTTATTACCAATTGCATTTATATTATGTACTGCTACTTTATTTTGGTAAATTAATGTATTTATTAAGTAGGTATCTCCTTAATTTAAAATAACTTGATTATCATTGCTTTTTTACCGATTCTTTATTTTTAAAAGTTATTTTTTTATATAAAAGTAGAGCTGAGATTGTTAACATTTATTTTGCTTTAATAAGTGGATTATAGTTTGTTATCACCTAAAGAATCTGTGCCTTTGATACATGTATGTGGATTTTTTGCCACATACTAATCTTTTTAAGATAAACATTTCATATATGGTGGGGGTCCATCAATCATTTCTAGACAGATAATGTTATTTAAAATACAGTCAAGTTTATGTCGTTAATTTGGCTTATTTTTTATATATTAACTATGTTTTAGCTCATGTAAACTTATTAAATGCAAACTTTTATTAAGAAACATATTGACTTTCGTGGGGCATGGTAAATAGATTAGAGTTAGTTAAAGCATAGGCACGGATCGCTTAGATTGTGGGTTTAAACCCCACACGGTGTCAGTTGATCAGACATTATTTAATTTGGTTGGTCCTTGTTATTGCTATGTTAATTCAAGCATAAATGTACTTACTCTGTTACGTTGTTCTAAGATCTAAAGTCTTTTTCTTCTTCTTAGCCTTCTGTCGTCCATGTTTGGACATAGGCCTCTCCCAACTCATTCCATCGGTCTCTATCCTGAGCAACATATTTCCAATTTGTTCCGGCTATTCTTCTAATGTCATCAACCCATCTCATCTGTGGTCTTCCTCTTGGTCGTTTACTTTCGTAAGGTCTCCAATGTTGTATTGTAGTATTCCTAAGATCTAAAGTAACGTTTAATAAATAGCAATAGGCTAATGGGTAACTGCAAGACTTGCAAGACTCTTGCTGCAAGACCAAGACCGAGAGTGTAATACCAAGACCAAGACCAGGTGTACTGGCGCAAGACCAAGACTGTCTAAGTCTCGTCTTGTTCTTGCATTTGGGTAACACTAGTTGTAGGTCTTTCAAATGAATTCACTACGAATTTTGACCATGATGAGCGCCACGTGGAATGCATATTTTAGATTCCCTTTGTCTCTTTTGTCTGCTTTGCTAGTTGTAGAAAGCACATTGGTAAAAATTTGAATTCAGTTTCGCCTTGTAGGAAATCTTATGATTTCTCTTGTTGTAGGTCTTTGTTGCGGATGTACCACTTATTCAGTTTTTGACTTTTTGAATGCAAGCATAGTCACTCTTATTAATACAGCCTTTACATATCTGTAAACTATTACCTTTTTTTATTTTAAATGGTGAGCTTCTATCACTAACCAGTATAATCCTTGTATTTCGGCTTTAGTTCTTCAGCTTTCCTTATGAGATGTTCCTGCCACTTTAATTTGCTATCTAAATGCAGCACTAGGACACGTAGATCAAAATTAATCTGGAAAGGGAAATCTGGTCATATCGATTTCACTTACAAAAAAAATATTCATCCAGCTATTTGATAAAAAAATAATTGAGAGCATTCTATATTTTACAAATATTTATGCATTCCAGAATAACCGTCGCAATTTTGAAATGAATAACATAGATTTTAAAAAAAATATTAGCATATCTATATTATCTGGTTTACACTCTGCTTTAAGTTGATATGCATTGGTCAAAGGATGAGGATAAAGAAGTGCATATTATAAGAGAAAGCATGAGCCGACATAGATTTATAATTTTAATTTATAATAGTGAAGAAACCGCTACATCAGTGTCTGTACATGGGCGTCAATCTAAATTTGCTTTAGATTCGACAATATTGGCCACATTATAAAAAGAGACGATAGTGCAAACATGTAAGGATGTACACAAGTAATACTATTTATTTATGTAAAAAGTGTAGAATGCATCTCTATACCCCGAATGTTTAGAAAATTTTCACCTTAAAATTTAATTTACATTTAAGATACAATATGTTCCTTTATTACAAATTCTACTGTTTTCCTTGAAAATGAGAAAAAAATCTTTTTTTTGTAAATTACTAATTTATGTGTTTTAATCCAATCTAATAAATTAGTTGTCAAATTTCTCTTTGTATATTCCCTGACCGTTAATGGGTTAATACTAAACTGGCCGCAAATTTACTTTACTTACTTCAAAACTATTTTAAAGTTAATAATAGAGTCTATTTAATAAATATATTCCCAACAACACACTACGCCTATGCACATATGTATATAATCTGGAAGGAATAAACTAAAATATCATATTTCTCTCATTAACATTCTTTCTAAGAACGTAAATATATGTAGACCAGCAAAATATTGAAAGTTTACTGATGTTTCAAAACTATTCAATGAACTTGTCTCACTATACACTCGTGATTTGCACCAATTTATATTGTTACGGGTGCAAATTTATCTTACATGGGTTACAAATTTACATATTTACATGGGCGAAGCATACACAATAAAAATTTAATGACCCCGGTAAGAATTTACTAATGAAATTTTATATGGTTGCCGCTACCGTTTAGTTCAATTTGTAGATTAGTCACCTTTAATTGAAAATTGTCCGACTATAGTCAGTAGTTTGGTCACCTGTCAGATCCTTTATGTTTTTTATGTAATAATCTATAATCGATTGCAAGTGTGAGTCCAGTTCAATAAGGGCAAATACATAAACATTAGACTTAATCAAAATCAATTTATTGTACCTTGGACGACCGGTTTCGAACACTAAACTTTGCTGTTCATCGTCAGGTCTGCGGACAGGTTACTTAAATGCTAAACATACAAATTTCTACTATTAGGATTGTGTCTGTTACATTTAAACATATTTTTTTGTATTTTCAGTATTCTAATCCAGGAAACCCTTTAGCACACTACGACACCACAGCGGAAGAAATTTACTTTCAGTGCGACAAAAACGTTGACATGATTGTAAGTAGATACATAAAATGTTTTATATTGACGTAGATTAGCTGTACAGTACTATTAATATATTAGGATTTGGAGTTTTGGATCATGTCTTATTTGGATTATGATTATGGAATATTATATATTCATGTATTTGACGTATTTAGAAGTGAAACTTGAATATATAATTGATTGTTTGATTTATCGACCGTTGTGTTGTTGCCTCATCTCTTCTTACCATGTTATACAACTGCAAAACGAGAGTAATCAGAAGGCCTGATGCAATCTTGCATTCGGGGTTTGACAGACTGACCACTTACGCCGATGTATACGCTACAGGCACTGATGATGGAATATATACTACAAGAAGAGAAAAGCAAGGATGAATATTTTGTAGCACTCAAAAATTCGAAAATTTTCAAGGAAGTCGAAAAGGAGTTCTTTCGTGGTCAGAGTTTTTTCTTTGTCCTATCCTCCAGTGGGATGGGGTAATATAATATAATGTCACGACTGTACAAGTTCTATGTAAAATTGGGTAGCGCCGCTGCTCTGCTTTAGCACAGCGTCTCTTAGAGCCTTAAGCCTCTTACTGGAATAACAACACAAAAATGTTCCTTTATACATATACATATACATATATATATATATATATATATATATATATATATATATATATATATATTGTTATGGTAAGCAAAATCTATATTTATCGATTATTTAATTAATTGTTATCAAAAAACAAAACTTACAACAAATCCCCAATTTATTATCCGGGTCGTGCTTCAAATATCTATCTCGTTGTATTTTAGGTAAGATGACGAAAAGGAAAGAAATAAAATAATATACAAATATTCAATCAATTAACAAATAAGATTATATTTACCTAATTTAAAAAAATATTAATTAGAATTTATCCATGTAAAAACCTTTATGAAAATTAATACTACAATACTAAACTTTAAGTCTTTCGATTATTATTAAATATTAACACAGCAAATGTTCCTGACAATATCAAAAAATTAATTAACTATTAATTGAGTCCCTCTTAGAAGATTTCTTTTAACCCGGCACCTGCCACGTGGCTTTGCAAAACGTCAACTGCCACGTGGGGTGCTCATAGTACCCCTTAAAACTTTTCTGTGATCTACGTGTTTATAAACAAAATAATAGGCTGAGTAATACAAAAATATAAAAAAAACATGTTTTATTAACACCTACTAATATTATAAAAGTTAAAAAATAAAACTAAAAAGTTATTATAAACAAATTAAGTAAAACTCATTAGCAGCTATCATCGGATTCTTGTTCTTCTTCCTTTTGGTTAAAACACTTTTCACAAATATGTTTCATGTGATTTAGGCACATCTGTTGGTAACATTTTTCGCAGAAAAAGTTTGTTTTTTTGTCATCTTTCCTTGGACAAATAGAGCACCTTGCCTTTTTTCTGGGCGGTTCTGTTGTTTCGTTTGATTCAGTAGAGCCTCCAATATATTTTATTGCCTTCTCACGTATTGTACGCGGAATGTGTGAGTTAGCTGATCTGACTTTCAACCAATCTTTCACAAGATCGAACCCTAAGTCCTGCAGGTAAATCCTCCGTTCAATTGTTTTGTTGTTAATATTATTCGCAGTGTGGATAACGTGGCTATTGATGCCAGCTATGTCGAGCATTCTAAAAAATACAACACATGGCCATCTTCGACATGTTCTGGCAGTGGAATATGAACCGCATAGCTCATCCACCTTGTCCACGCCGGACTTGGTTTGGTTGTAAAATGTAATTATATTTGGAAGATTCTTATCTCCTGTGCTCTCATCAATAGAATCGTCTTCTAAATGCATTGACGATAACATCATTACATTTTTATTTCTCTTAGGTATATAAGATAAAATTGTCATATTGTCGGTAAATGCAAATTCTGAACTTTTGAGTGGTCTTCTTTTAATTTCCACAAACTGTTTAGGTATCTCCCTTTTATTTTTACGCATAGTTCCGACATACGTCAATTTCTTTTGTAGCAATTCTACGGCAAGTGGAACACTTGTGAACCAATTATCTCCAGTAATGTTGCGACCAGAATTCCAAATTGGCTTAGATAGCCGCATAACTATGTTATTTGCACTGTTTGATACCGCATAAGGTCCTTCAGGTTGTTGGCCTACGTATATTTCAAATGTCAATGAGTACCATGTTTTGGCATCGGCAATACTAAATATTTTTATGCCATACTTAGCTGGCTTACTCGGTATATATTGCCGAAATGAACATCGTCCTCTAAAAGAAACCAGCTGTTCATCAATAGTGCAGTATTCAGATATGGAATATACGTTTACACAGTTATTTTGAAAAATTGTAAAAACATCACGGATTGGAGCAAGTTTGTCAATTTTACGTCTTTCACTGCGTGTGTCTATGTCGTCAAATCGAAGGCATTTTATTAGCATGAAGTACCTATGGAGACTCATTGTTGTTCTAAAAATGCCTATGCCCACTCTACCTTCTGACCATAAATCCTCCATGTTCTGACGTCTAGAACGAATAGACCCAGCAATATATAGTAAACCAAACAGCGCCTTCAGTTCAGCCATGCATGTTTCATAACTATGCTTTTTTTTATCACCGGTTTGTTGTTGAAGTTTTTTGTTTGTAGAATTTAATATTATTTCAAGAATATTTTCATCTATGAGCAAGTTCCAACATTCCAAAATTGTCTTACAATTTTTTGCACACTGTTTTACACCAGGTAAATGAACAACAAGGTTCTGCGATCTTGTACGAACATTTCTATTCCCCCTTGTAGTTCTCCATTTTGTAGTCCCATCCTTACCTACAACAGTATTTGCATCTAAAACAGATTCTTCGCCGTCCGAAGCTGCTGACATTTCTGAATCCGAATTGTGGTCGCTAAACTGGGTAGCATCTACTTCAGAATCAGATGAATCCTCAATCTCTGCTATATCATCTTGTTCCATCTCTTCTAGAAGAGCTCTCAAGCGGTTTTGTTCCTGTTCGTACCAAGCCATAATAAATTGGGCGTGAAGTAAAATATCTAAAAAAAATAATATTTATTTAGTATACAGCCTATATAATAATTTAAATCAGTTATTGCAATAAAAACTGTAAATATACCAACCTGTTTATCAAAAACACAAAAAAAAATTTAAAACTTAAACTGCCAGATGGGGATCTGATGACACTCCAGTCGACTTTATAGCTACAAGGTCAGAATGCCACTAAATAACCACTTCAAACTCAAATAGATCTATGCTGTACAATATTATAGAAAGCTACTATGACGCGCAGCAGTGTTGCAAAACTTGAAATACGAAATATTTGGTGAAAATGTGTTATGGGGTGCTGGTAGTACCCCACGTGGCAGGTGCCGGGTTAACTGAAGTACTTCGCCACGGTAATTTTTACAACAAAGAAAACAAACTTACATTAGCTCTGGTAAGGTTCCTTCTTAGGGCTCTTTAACTGTTTCTATATGGCCCGCCAGGAAAAAACCACGAAGACTACCTTTTGGTAATATTAATTCTACCTTTCTCGGCTCCAGCAACACAACACAAAAACTCAATACTTGACTGACTTTTTACTTCATCAATTTTTCTATTACCCGCACTGGCGAAGCTCTCAAAAAAAATTGTTCTTCCCTCGGAAATTTTAAACAAAGTGACATCTGTCAAAATTATTGTCAACGCAAACCTCTCGTTTTTTTCTCCTTCCAAAGCAATCTTGTTGCCAAGTCAAATTTCCGTTTATTTGGTAATAGCAAAATTTCCCATTTTAATAAACAAAATCCTTCCAAGAATATTTTCCCTATGTCCGTAACTAATCACTTTCTATTCAAATGTATTGCTTTCATTTCTAATAAGCCTACTAATTTACATATCTTATATTTAATGACAATATAATTTTATACATTTTCTTAAGTAAACAAGATTACTTATTTTTTTAGATTATTTCCAAATAACAATTTTTGGGAACCTTAACAACTCCCCGCCATTTGCTGAAATGAAAATTTTTTTCTACCGACAACAAATTTTCTTGAAGTAAATAAAATTGGCAAATATTATTATTAATAATCATTCATAATATTTATAAATGTCGTTTATATTGAAAATACCCCGTATATTATCAGAGTCTATTTGTTTTAAAACATAACTATTGATACCATTTTCATTTTGGATAATGTATGGGCCTTCGAATACAGGAAGGAACTTTGCGCAAACATTGTTTGTAATGTTAAACACTCTTAGCGCTCTTACTAATACCTTTTCTCCAACCTGGAAAGTGACTGGTTGTCTTCGGCGTTTTCGGCTCTGCCTTTGAAGGTATTTTTCGCTGCTCCTACGGAGCCTTTGCTGTACAGTTTCCATTATCTCTTCGTAATTTCTGGGTTCTGTTTCTACCCATGGTCGTGGAGGCATTATCCCTTTCATCACATACTCTGGCGTCTCTTTCGTAACGGTATTTGGTGTCGAATTCAGATACCTTTCAATATCTGTTAATTTTCTGCCCCATTGCTTGTGTTGACCATCAGCTGCAATTCTAAGGAACTTCGTGACCTCTTGTATGAACCTTTCTGAGGGATTGCTTTGAGGATGACGAATACTCACAAACTTTGTCTCAATTCCTCTCTCTCTAAGTTTTCCCTTAAAACGATCGTTTCTAAAATATGTTTCAAAAATAGCATCAATATTCAAAGGTGATTCGTATTGTGCCACAGTGTGTTGATTTATGTTTCTTGCATCAAGACGTAGCCTCAATTCTCCGCTGTTTTTCTTTACAATTACAATGGGACTTACATATGGCGAATCACATCTTTCGATAATCTGATCTTTAATCATTATCTCAATCTCTTGTTTGACGTTTTATCTGTATTTATAAGGGATTGGGTACGTTTTTGATCTGAAATTTTTCAGATCTTTCACCTCAAATGAATGTTCGTAATTTTTCGCCACTCTATTTTCTTCATTTATTAATTCCTCGTAGTTTTGTAGAATTTGATGTATCTCATTGT